TCTCTCTCTCTCTCTCTCTCTCTCTCTCTCTCTCTCTCTCTCTCTCTGGGAGGGTGGTAATCACCGGGGTAGTTCATTACAAGGGATACGATGGCCGGTGTGGGGGAGATATCCGGATAAAGAGAGATAGTATTGACAGTGTATCCAGGTGATCCGGTTAGCAGTGACAATAACCCATTACACCTGGCCGGTTACTGGGCCCTACCTGGCTGGTGGTCTAGGGGGGGGGAGGGGAGGGGGAGAGGGAAGGAGGTAGGGTGCTTGACAGAAAGGGAGCAAGAACACTGCCTAGCAAGGACACCGCCTAGCAAGGACACCGCCTAGCAAGAACACCGCCTAGCAGGAACACTGCCTAGCAAGAACACTGCCTAGCAAGAACACTGCCTAGCAAGGACACCGCCTAGCAAGAACACTGCCTAGCAAGAACACTGCCTAGCAAGGACACCGCCTAGCAAGAACACCGCCAAGCAAGAACACTGCCTAGCAAGGACACCGCCTAGCAAGAACACTGCCTAGCAAGGACACCGCCTAGCAAGAACACCGCCTAGCAAGAACACTGCCTAGCAAGAACACCGCCTAGCAAGAACACCGCCTAGCAAGAACACTGCCTAGCAAGAACACCGCCTAGCAAGAACACCGCCTAGCAAGAACACCGCCTAGCAAGAACACCGCCTAGCAAGAACACTACGACTAGGAGCAACACCGCCTAGCGAGAACACCGCCTAGCAAGAACACTACGACTAGGAGCAACACCACCCAGCAAGAACACCGCCTAGCAAGAACACCGCCTAGCAAGAACACCGCCTAGCAAGAACACCGCCTAGCAAGAACACCGCCTAGCAAGAACACTACGACTAGGAGCAACACCGCCTAGCAAGAACACCGCCTATCAAGAACACTACGACTAGGAGCAACACCGCCTAGCAAGAACACCGCCTAGCAAGAACACCGCCTATCAAGAACACCGCCTAGCAAGAACACTACGACTAGGAGCAACACCGCCTAGCAAGAACACCGCCTAGCAAGAACACCGCCTAGCAAGAACACCGCCTAGCAAGAACACCGCCTAGCAAGAACACTACGACTAGGAGCAACACCGCCTAGCAAGAACACCGCCTAGCAAGAACACCGCCCAGCAAGAACACCGCCTAGCAAGAACACCACCTAGCAAGAACACCGCCTAGCAAGAACACCACCTAGCAAGAACACCGCCTAGCAAGAACACCGCCTAGCAAGAACACCGCCCAGCAAGAACACCGCCCAGCAAGAACACCACCTAGCAAGAACACCGCCTAGCAAGAACACCGCCTAGCAAGAACACCACCTATCAAGAACACCGCCTAGCAAGAACACCGCCTAGCAAGAACACCGCCTAGCAAGAACACCACCTATCAAGAACACCGCCCAGCAAGAACACCGCCCAGCAAGAACACCGCCCAGCAAGAACACCGCCTAGCAAGAACACCGCCTAGCAAGAACACCGCCTAGCAAGAACACCGCCTAGCAAGAACACCGCCCAGCAAGAACACCGCCCAGCAAGAACACCGCCCAGCAAGAACACCGCCTAGCAAGAACACCGCCTAGCAAGAACACCGCCTAGCAAGAACACCGCCCAGCAAGAACACCGCCTAGCAAGAACACCGCCTAGCAAGAACACCGCCTAGCAAGAATACCGCCTAGCAAGAACACCGCCTAGCAAGAATACCGCCTAGCAAGAACACCACCTAGCAAGAACACCGCCCAGCAAGAACACCGCCTAGCAAGAACACCGCCCAGCAAGAACATCGCCCAGCAAGAACACCGCCCAGCAAGAACACCGCCCAGCAAGAACACCGCCTAGCAAGAACACCGCCTAGCAAGAATACCGCCTAGCAAGAACACCGCCTAGCAAGAATACCGCCCAGCAAGAACACCGCCTAGCAAGAACACCGCCCAGCAAGAACACCGCCCAGCAAGAACACCGCCCAGCAAGAACACCGCCTAGCAAGAACACCGCCTAGCAAGAACACCGCCTAGCAAGAACACCGCCTAGCAAGAACACCGCCTAGCAAGAACACTGCCTAGCAAGAACACCGCCTAGCAAGAACACCGCCTAGCAAGAACACCGCCTAGCAAGAACACCAACTAGCAAGAACACCGCCTAGCAAGGACACCGCCTAGCAAGAACACCGCCTAGCAAGAACACCGCCTAGCAAGAACACCGCCTAGCAAGAACACCACCTAGCAAGAACACCGCCTAGCAAGAACACCGCCTAGCAAGAACACCGCCTAGCAAGAACACCGCCCAGCAAGAACACCGCCTAGCAAGAACACCGCCTAGCAAGAACACCGCCTAGCAAGAACACCACCTAGCAAGAACACCGCCTAGCAAGAACACCGCCTAGCAAGAACACCGCCAAGCAAGAACACCACCTAGCAAGAACACCGCCTAGCAAGAACACCGCCTAGCAAGAACACCGCCTAGCAAGAACACCGCCTAGCAAGAACAGTACGACTAGGAGCAACACCGCCTAGCAAGAACACCGCCTAGCAAGAACACCGCCTAGCAAGAACACTACGACTAGGAGCAACACCGCCTAGCAAGAACACCGCCTAGCAAGAACACCGCCTAGCAAGAACACCGCCTAGCAAGAACACCGCCTAGCAAGAACACCGCCTAGCAAGAACACAACGTCTCGCAGCAACACCGCTCTGAAATAATTCCTGTTTTAAACGTGGCAATTTATCAATAGGGGAAGCGATAGACATTGAACAAGTGACAGCTATAGAACAAACGACATTGAACAAACGATATGGAACAAGCAGCAGCCATAGAACAAGTGACACAGCGCTATAGAGACTACGATAGAGACCACTAAACTAATATAGATCCCAACATTGCATTTAACAACACCTGAACAATCATTTAACACCAAAAAAAAAAAAAAAAAGTCATACACTGTTCATAGAAAAAGAGAAATACTTCATTGATATGTATCATGTATACGTATCATGTATAACTGTTCCGGGAGTTAATAATCAAGTTGAATTGTTTCTGTAAACTAATTCTGGCCCTAATTTTTTGACTGATGTGTTTTTTTCAGTTGAATAACTGTGAAGGAATAAAATTGTTGTGTAAGCGGAACTTGTATAATTGTATAGTTGACAAAAGGCAGTTAAAACGCTAAGGATATTAACACAAAAAAACGCAAAATTAAAATAGGTGAAATTGACAGGTAAAGCTCTCAAGTGAGAGCACAGGTAAAACTCTCAAGTGAGAGCACAGGTAAAACTCTCAAGTGAGTGCACAGGTAAAACTCTCAAGTGAGAGCACAGGTAAAACTCTCAAGTGAGTGCACAGGTAAAACTCTCAAGTGAGAGCACAGCAAAAAACGCAGAAATAAACTCCTTTAATCAGCATTAAATGATCAGGAAAGCCCAAAGGCCCCGCCCAAGGCAGCATGGACGCGATATGCTGAGTATACTCCCTGGGGATAATATGCTGAGTATGCTCCCTGGGGATAGTATGCTGAGTAAACTGCCTGGGGATAGCATGCTGAGTATACTCCCTGGGGATAGTATGCTGAGTATACTGCCTGGGGATAGCATGCTGAGTATACTCCCTGGGGATAGTATGTTGAGTATACTCTCTTAGTATGGCGAGTATACCGTAGGTATAAAATACCGAGTATACAACGTATATTCCCACCATATACATAGAGTATATGTATACTCTGCATATAGCATAAAAATACAGCATATATGCTGATTATACTCAATGATATATATATATATATATATATATATATATATATATATATATATATATATATATATATATATATATATATATATATATATCACGTATCTGTGTATATATATACATGCCAATAAATTGCCAAGAAGCGAACATACTGTATTCTTGATGTATTTTGCATTTGAGAGTCGAGAAAAGTTTGCGTGCAAGAATTGTATCCAGGTGGCGGACTTGCGTGCAAAAATCTTGTATGCCACGCAAGGGTTGTATTTGCAATTTATTAATAATTAGTAATTAATTATTATTATTATTTTTTATTTAGGGGTAAGCAGAGCATTGGTTTTTACTTAACAAAAAATAGCATTTTACAAAGACAAGCCCTTATAGTGTCAATTGTATTTGGTGTATTTGTCGTCAGACTATGCTTGTGTATGTGTATGTATATACTGGCTTATGTATACATGAATATACACATGGCCGTTCTCATATTTAGGGGAATTAAACTAGTGGTTACAAAAATTATATATACATATCGGTTATGTATAATGTTTGGTGTACAAATTGGTGTGTGTATGTATTTGCGTATATCTGTGTTTGCATGTGTTTGTGTGTGTATGTATATTTGTGTTTGCGTGTATTTGCGTTTGCGCCTGTTTGTATTTGTGTGTTTATGCTTGCGTGTCTGCATTTGTGTGTATTTAAAATATGCGTGCGTTTGGATGTGTTTGCGAGTGCGTGTATTTGTGTTTGCGTGTGTTTGTAAGACTGTGTATATGTTTGCGATTTTTGTATGCGTGAGGTCTGTGTTCTTGCTTCAAACAAAAAAAAAAGTAATGAAAACAAAAAGATGAATAATTCAATCAATTTTATATTTGTATATTTTCTCTGCTTACATGTTAAGCAGAATTGGTTATCATAAGTTATCGCAGGGATAACTGCAGCAGTCATCACAGCAATTGATGCTGTGATAACAAGTCATGACACCAGTTGGTGATGGGTCATTCCAGTTTACACAGTGTACCGGATATCAAGAGTTATCACAAGTAAGGCTGTTATGTTACGATAACACCGGTTATCACCACTGTGGATGCTGAGGTAGCCTCCCATTTCCAGCGCTGTCGATACAGTGAAAAGAAGCACACATGAAACTGGAGAGGGAGAATGGAAGAGACTTAAAGTAGAATTAGAAGAACAAGCAGATCAGAAAGATGGTGGAACTAGAATACGATAGAAGCGGCGTAGAACAATAGAATTGTTGACTTACCTTTGGTCTGTGGAATAGAATGTCGTCTATGAGGAAGGATGTGGTGGCTCTCGAAGTGGAGGCCGACTCCAGAAGGTTGGACTCCCTCTTCTTGCCCAATAGTTCCATCCTGGATGTGACTGACGGCGGCGCTGATGAAGGTGGAATGGTTCTTCAGGAGCAGTTTGGTGATGATGGGATGCCAAGGATTAAGGGTTGAGCGGGGATAATGGGTGGTTTTAAGGGATCACTCTGGTGGCAGTGTGGAAGAGGGTGACGCTGGTAGTGCCTCTTTCCAAAGAGAAGACGCACTTACCAGGCTGCAAGAGTGTTGCAAAGTGCCAGAGTCGCTACCACACGACGCCCGACGGCCGCTCAATCACTATCCCGCGATCTCGAGGCCTCGTCCAAGGAGCGTTACCTCCGCGTCAGCGTATTTCTGACGGCGGCGGTGATCACTCGGGCGGAGGGCGCGTGGCCCGCGGTAATGGCGGGAGAAGATGGCCCACTTCCCTACGCGGCTCCTGCTGCGCTCTCGCCACGCACCGGGCTCTCCAAACTTGCGATTTTCCGGTCCGATTATGACGGAGTCTTTTGGACCAATGGCAGGCGATTAGGTGGTCGTTGTTGGTGCACATTACCACAATCAGGACGGTGATCGCTGCTTACCTCGTCCAGCGACTCGCTCTCCGCCAATCACCGACACCGTTCTGGACACCCTCCAAGATGTGCAAGAAAGTTGACCAATCGGCGCGCGGCCCTTCAATATGGCCGCGGCGCCGACCAATGGGAGGCGCCCGCGCGACTCCCCATTACTGGTGGCCACGCCCACCTCGCCGCTACGGAGAAGTGGCGGGAAGAAGAGGACAATATTGCACACAAAACACTCCACTTGTGCAACAATGAGGCCACGGAGACGAGTGGCATTGTTACACCCGCCGGCCAAAATGCTCACGTCTAATTAGGCAACACTGATGACATACGATGCCACAAATAATTAGACTGTTGGCGCTCGAGGGTTAATGACGCCTAATTTGTCTATTCTTAAGCGACCAAATACGATTATAGACGATGTTGTGTGAATGTTCCTGCGATCTGCGGGGGAAAACAATCTCCGCTCTTGCTTAAGAATCTCAGCCAAACGAAGTATGTTCTCAACATATATGTCCTCATATGCTATTTAGATTCGAAGCTTAATAAAAATAATTACGAAATTTAGGAAAAAAATCACAGCCCCCCCCTTAGCGCGTTCTAGCAAAATCAGCCCATGGAAAAAAAAATCCTGTATCTCTCAAAATAATTTTTTTACAACCCATAATTAACGGCACTAAATCCCCCCCTCCCCCCCCAACTAATATTGGTTGTGAGCCCCCCTCAAATAAAAATAATAATAATAATATCATACCTAGATTTTTGCCTGCGGTTGATAAGTGAATTAATCCCGGGTTCCTTTTGTGGAATGGCTTTATGCAAATGCTGCAAATGATCTATTCAGGTGAGGCTCTCGCTTCCATTTAGCGGCATTGGTTCCTCCATTTGTGCTGATATTTCCCTATTTACCTCACGCTAACCATGTAACGCTTTCACGGCTCGCTGCCCTTCGCGCTCGTGTCGCTGGCGTTCGTCCAGACCCGCTCCCGGAGGCTGGGTCTGGTCGAAGGTATCTGGGATTACTGCCTGGGGATGGGGACGATGGGGAGGGGGGGGCAGGGGAGAGGTGGTGGCAGGGGATAGGTTATAAGAGGTCGTCTTCACTGTGTGTTTGTTGGGGTTTAAGGTGTGTGTGTACTCACCTATTTCTGCTTGCGGTGGTTGAGCTTTGGCTCTTTCGGCCCGCCTCTCAACTGTTTCTACTACTTCTATTTTTTCCCCACACCCCCCGGGAAGCAGCCCGTGACAGCTGACTCACTCCCAGGTACCTATTTTACTGCTAGGTAACAGGGGGCATAGTGATAGAAACTCTGCCCATCGTTTCTCGCCGGCGTCCGGGATTTAACCCGGGACCACAGGATCACGTGTCTAGCGTCCTGTCCGCTCGGCCGGCCAGCTCCCGATGTATGTGTATAAAGTATATATGGAAGCTGATCAGAATTGCATTTCACCTTTGTAAATGCACATTTACAATAGGTAGCTCCTATTTATAACCACCCAATCCCACTCATATACATGTCCAACCCGCACTTGAAACAATCGAGGGACCCCACCTCCACCACGTTACGCGGTAATTGGTTCCACAAATCAACAACCCTGTTACTGAACCAGTATTTACCCGTCTTTCCTAAATCTAAACTTATCCAATTTATAACCATTGTTTCGTGTTCTGTCTTGTGTTGATACTTTTAATACCCTATAAATATCCCCTTTGTTATGTCCATTCATCCACTTTTAGACCTCTATCCCATTACTTTGCCCATTGGCAGAAGGTTAAATATTGGTGGGAGCTGTTAGGTAAAAGAGATTTACTACTTGGTTCATTAAGAATGTTCAGTTAGGCTTTGTTTATATCTTCCCATTTTCTTCGCATCCTTTCCATTTTCTTTCAATTTTCTCATTTTCTTCCCATTCTTCTCACTGCTATCAGACTTCTTTCTTTCCCTAGTTCCCCGACCATGATCCCCCCCTTCCCCTCACCTAGACCCCTTCCCCTCACCTAGACCCCTTCCCCTCACCTAGACCCCTTCCCCTCACCTTGTCTCCTCATCAGTTTTATATATTAATCTAATTCTCTCTCTTAATTTGTACACGATTCACTCATCCTTCATGTTATCAGAATCTCCTTCATTTCCAGGTTTATCAGGTTTGTTTCAGCTCCAGTTTACCTTTTTCCCGCTTGCACGAAATTACGCGTTCACCGCTTTCATCTTATTCCTCTATACGTCCTGTCTCCTTTCTCCACCTCCTCTCCCTTCCCCACACCCTCTCCTTCTGTTCCTCTACACTCCAGTCTCTGGCTATCTTTCTCTGCCTCTGTCCTCTCTCTCTCTTCCCCCATTCTATTCTTTCCTCCGCTCCCCTCTCTCTTCCTCTCCCTCTCCGCCGTCTCTCTCCGCCCATCCACTCTCCCCTCATCGTCAACAGTCCCCTCACGTTTCCGTGGTGCTGGGAGGTAAGTGAGAGGTGTGAGGGGTCTCTACGTCCAAGTTTCCCCTCACATTGTCGGACGAGACGGTGTGCTCTCACCTTGGTCGAGGAGTTGGCTTCATACTCTAGGTTGGTTGAGGAGCTGGCTTCATCCTCCAGGCTGGTCGAGGAGCTGGCTTCATCCTTCAGGCTGGTTGAGGAGCTGGCTTCATCCTTCAGGCTGGTTGAGGAGCTGGCTTCATCCTCCAGGCTGGTTGAGGAGCTGGCTTCATCCTTCAGGCTGGTTGAGGAGCTGGCTTCATCCTCCAGGCTGGTTGAGGAGCTGGCTTCATCCTCCAGGCTGGTTGAGGAGCTGGCTTCATCCTTCAGGCTGGTTGAGGAGCTGGCTTCATCCTTCAGGCTGGTTGAGGAGCTGGCTTCATCCTCCAGGCTGGTTGAGGAGCTGGCTTCATCTACGAGTCTGGGTGTAGTGCTGGCTTCATCCTGCAGTCTGGTTGAGGAACTGGCTTCATCCTCCAGGCTCTTTGTGGAGCTGACTTTATCATCCAGGCTTGTTGAGGAGCTGGCTTCATCCTCCAGGCTGGTTGAGGAGCTGGCTTCATCCTCCAGGCAGGTTGATGAGCTGGCTTCATCTACGAGTCTGGGTGTAGTGCTGGCTTCATCCTGCAGTCTGGTTGAGGAGCTGGCTTCATCCTCCAGGCTGGTTGAGGAGCTGGCTTCATCTACGAGTCTGGGTGTAGTGCTGGCTTCATCCTGCAGTCTGGTTGAAGAGCTGGCTTCATCCTCCAGGCTCTTTGTGGAGCTGACTTTATCATCCAGGCTTGTTGAGGAGCTGGCTTCATCCTCCTGTTGAGGATGAAAGGCACAAGGGGACACAGGTAGAAACTGAGTACCCAAATGAGCCACAGGGACGTTAGAAAGAACTTTTCAGTGTCAGAGTAGTTAACAGATGGAATGCATTAGGCAGTGATGTGGTGGAGGCTGACTCCATACACAGTTTCAAGTGTAGATATGATAGAGCCCAGTAGGCTCAGGAACCTGTACACCAGTTGATTGACAGTTGAGAGGCGGGACTAAAGAGCCAGAGCTCAACCCCCGCAAACACAAATAGGTAAGTACACACACACACACACACACACACACACACATACACACACACACACACACACACACTCCTGTGTATACACCATTTGTATATACGGCATGAGAGTGAGAGGAGGGAGGCAGGCAGCCGTCCGGAGTCAGCAACGGTTGTGGGGCGGGCGCTTCAGGGGACACACAACCTTGGTCTCTGATTGAATTACTGAAATCGAATCAGCGACCAATCTGCCTGTTTATATTGCCACGCCGTGGACGATGGGGTCAGATCCTATACTCGATTGTCGTTTGTTTCCCGCATGCTGAATGGAAAATTTGGTTTTCCGCGCTTTGGGGAGTTTATTTTATGGGGGCGCGGTGTTTGGCTCTGGCTAGTGTTTGGTTGATGTTTAGCTCTAGCGCGCTGTTTGGTGAGTTTTTGTGGCTGATGTTTGGATCATGAGCTGTGTTTGAGTGTGGCTGATGTTTGGATCATGAGCTGTGTTTGAGTGTGGCTGGTGTTTGGATCATGAGCTGTGTTTGAGTGTGGCTGATGTTTGGATCATGAGCTGTGTTTGAGTGTGGCTGATGTTTGGATCATGAGCTGTGTTTGAGTGTGGCTGATGTTTGGATCATGAGCTGTGTTTGAGTGTGGCTGGTGTTTGGATCATGAGCTGTGTTTGAGTGTGGCTCATGTTTGGTTCTTTGGCTGGATGGACTGGTGCTCTATATTTTAGCCTCATCTGTTCCTCTTTTCCTCCTCATTCTTTCTTCAATCTCCATTTCTTCCTTTTCCTGCTGGTGTTTGGCAATGCTCTTACTCCCTCCCTACTCCTCCTTCTCCTTCTCCTCCTTAACCTTTTCCCTCTCTTGCTCTTCTCTTCCCCTCGTATTCCTCTTGTTTCTTCCCTGTTAGTTCTTAATCTCATCCTCCGCTTCCCTCCTGCTCTTTGCCTCCTAATTTTCGTCTTCCTTTCGTCTCTTCCCTCACTTCCTTCTCTTTTGTATTTGTATTTCTTTCTGTCTCTGTCTGTCTGTCTGTCTGTCTGTCTGTCTGTCTGTCTGTCTGTCTGTCTATCTGTCTGTCTGTCTGTCTGTCTGTCTCTCCTTCTCTCTCTCTCTCTCTCTCTCTCTCTCTCTCTCTCTCTCTCTCTCTCTCTCTCTCTCTCTCTCTCTCTCTAAGTACGACTAGGGTTCATTAGGGCTGTCATTTTAAGTATCTGCTGAAACTGCAAGCAAGTTTGTTATTCTATCAATTCTATTCTATCTATTCTACTCATTTATTTCATGAGATTATTATTTGAATCATTAGGAATAAACTTTGTTTAAATCTTAGTAACAATCATATAAGGAACAGGATGCGCCCGTGGCCAACTGTGTGACAGAGTCTTCATGTGATCAGTTGTCATCAACTGTCTGTCTAACTAACTCAGTAACTAACTAACCAACTAACTGTCATGTTAGATCAGTCAGTTGATCTGATCTAACGTTAGTGTATCATCCTGTTGAGTGAACAAGTTCCAGATGCGTGTCAGCCTGGGAGTGAATGATCGCTGATGGAGTGATGTTCTTGAGAAAGGCACTTCCAGCATGAGACTGTTGAAGGTTGAGAGCCTAGTGCTACGGGTGGCAACTACTGGTAGTCCACGGAGTTGGGCCAGGTGCGGAACTTTGAGAACGTTTGAGTACATACCAGTAAGACCACCAACGTCCCGACGGTGTTGCAGGCGCTGATGTTCAGACCGTTCCCACCAGACTTGGTTAAGACCAGAGATGAGCCTTCTAGCCCGTCTCTCCACTTTGTCCAACAGTCTGACGAATGATGGGGGGCAGGCGATCGAGGAGAGGGGGGTGAATACTGTAGATGGGAGCGAACTTGTGCTTCATATAAGGGCTTGCAGCCCCAGCTGTCAAGAGGGTGTGAGATACGCCGTAGGACTGTAAGATTCCTGGCTTGTAGACTAGGTTAAGCACGTGCCTCTTTATTGTCATTGAAGAGTCGAACTTCTTTCCCAAGATATCAGTTTTATCTGTGAACTCCAGGGTGTTTGCCATCCATAACTCCAGGGGTTTGCCATCCATAACTCCAGGGGGTTTGCCATCCATAACTCCAGGGGGTTTGCCATCCATAACTCCAGGGGGTTTGCCATCCATAACTCCAGGGTGTTTGCCATCCATAACTCCAGGGTGTTTGCCATCCATAACTCCAGGGGGTTTGCCATCCATAACTCCAGGGGGTTTGCCATCCATAACTCCAGGGGTTTGCCATCCATAACTCCAGGGTGTTTGCCATCCATAACTCCAGGGTGTTTGCCATCCATAACTCCAGGGTGTTTGCCATCCATAACTCCAGGGTGTTTGCCATCCATAACTCCAGGGTGTTTGCCATCCATAACTCCAGGGTGTTTGCCATCCATAACTCCAGGGGTTTGCCATCCATAACTCCAGGGGGTTTGCCATCCATAACTCCAGGGTGTTTGCCATCCATAACTCCAGGGTGTTTGCCATCCATAACTCCAGGGGGTTTGCCATCCATAACTCCAGGGGGTTTGCCATCCATAACTCCAGGGTGTTTGCCATCCATAACTCCAGGGTGTTTGCCATCCATAACTCCAGGGTGTTTGCCATCCATAACTCCAGGGTGTTTGCCATCCATAACTCCAGGGTGTTTGCCATCCATAACTCCAGGGTGTTTGCCATCCATAACTCCAGGGTGTTTGCCATCCATAACTCCAGGGTGTTTGCCATCCATAACTCCAGGGGTTTGCCATCCATTTGCAAGCTGGCACACCCTGCTTGAGCCACTAGCCGGGTTCCTTCTGCTTGAAATCTTCTAACAAGAAGAGTTCTTCCAGTTGTTCTTCGGTAGTTGTTGCAGTTGTTCTTCAGTAGTTGTTCCAGTTGTTCTTCGGTAGTTGTTCCAGTTGTTCTTCAGTAGTTGTTCCAGTTGTTCTTCGGTAGTTGTTCCAGTTGTTCTTCGGTAGTTGTTCCAGTTGTTCTTCGGTAGTTGTTCCTCGGTAGTTGTTCCAGTTGTTCTTCAGTAGTTGTTCCAGTTGTTCTTCAGTAGTTGTTCCAGTTGTTCTTCAGTAGTTGTTCCAGTTGTTCTTCAGTAGTTGTTCCAGTTGTTCTTCAGTAGTTGTTCCAGTTGTTCTTCGGTCTCCACCTTCCGAGACGCGCACCATCCGTAAAACAGTCGTTCCTTAATGCCCGCGAACTCCGTAAAGGTGTGTTCTGCTGTCTTAAGGTTACGAAACCTTTGCTTATATTCTTCAGGCACCAACTGGTAAGCCATCACCACCACCTTCTTGACAGTGTCAGTCACTAGAGTCGCCAACCGACAGTGTGGAGTACACTGTTTGGGCCTTCCAGTTAGCACTGATTGGCTCATAATTGCCCAATTGTCCCTTGGCCAGTCTAATGATGCAGCTACTTTCTCAAAAGCAGCAAAGAACTTGGAAACTTCCTTCTCTTTGAATTTTGGCAGCATTTTAATGTTTCGCACTGGGTCGAAACATCTGGTGTCCCTTCTACATCTTAGGACCTCCAATTCGTGTTGACTGTCTCTCTGTCCTTTTCTTCTCTCCCTTCTTCTCTCTCTATTTCCAAACGCTTCATTTCCATTTCCCTCTCCAACCGTTTCAACTCGATTTCACGATTTATCTCTAATTTTCGCATTTTCACACTGTTAATAGGCTCACATTAAGCTCCTCTGGGTCATTTTCACTATCACTTCCCTGGCTTCCTTCTCAGTGGAAGCCATCACGCTCTCTCCTTCACTACGGACTTCACTTTCCTGCTTGCCGTTAGGTTTCAAATGCCTGTACACCTTTCAGATGATCTCAGCGCGCGGGTCACGATCGCTCACCTTAATCTCAAGGTAGGCACTTATTAACACTAACTCGGGTTTTCCCAGATGTTTCAACTTGGGAAGGCAGTTCTCCTGGTTTAGGAACTCCTGAACATCGTCCAGAGTATCAATGGTCTGTTTCTCGGCCATTGTTCACTTCCGTAACGCTGTGCTTAATCACATAACACTGAACTTAACGCTTACACAGAAAAATGGGGAAATGAAATCTATACAAGTGGATTGCAGTAATCACTTGACCAATTCTGTCTAACTAATTGGGGGATGCCAATTATGTCACGGCCTGCTTGAGCCAGTAACTGGGTTCTTTCTGCTTAATGGGCCTTAGAGCCCAGCAAGTCAATGGTAAGCTATCAGGAAATGCCGGTTGCAAGTAATTATGAAAATAAAAAGTGGGTAATCAAGACTAAATAACTCCTTCACCAATCTATTCTGTCTTATAACTATATGTACACAGTGTGTCTCTTTCACACGGGACACTTAATATATCTGCAAGTGTTCTTCTAATCCCGGTTAGTCCACTATCTTCACGTATACGTCGTCCACACTCAGTGGTCATCACCGGGGAGTTCATCTTCCTCAACATGGACCAGTCTACACACCGTATCGTCCCAATACACCACATCTGCTCTCCAGAAACACACTAGCAGAGAGCTTCAGGAACACACTGACGGGGGTTTACAAGTACTACGTCCAAGGGTCTCCACTAACACCCTGGCAGAAGTCTACACTCTAGCAGCAGCACTTCTTAGCAGACGGCCACTGCTGTCGTCTCGTAACTCCTCTTGGCCCAATGCCGGGTACGTCGGTCCACACACTATCGCTGCTCAAGTACAGCAGGCTGTCTACAGCTGTCTACTACCTACCTGTCTACTACCGACGGTGGTCACTTGTCCTCTCACAGGACAACCCGTCCTCGACTCAAGTCCATTACATTCAGCAGTCGACCCCACAGACGCATTCATAAATTTTAACATGCTGTTCATTCAAAACGGGAATTTTCTCAAGTATAAATTAATATTATAATATATTAGCATATTGTGTATATATAGGCATAGGTTAGGTTAGGTGTTTAGGTTCTGTTGGCGATTATTTGTATTTGTAGTACGTGGGTGAAGCATCTACAGCGTTGTGGTTCGAACAAAACTCTTCAGTGAAACACTTGTTCCGGAAGTGTTCGAACGAAATCAGTTGTGAGTCGTGTGTAAACCGTTTTTCATTCATAAACAGGGGGGTTTGGCGGGTGGATGGAATCACTTTAGGGTCTTTGTTTGGAGGACGGGCTGCCTTAATGACGTAATTACGCAAGGTTCTACAGGACTCCGGGGCTCCTTGAACTTTTCCTGTAATGAGTTGGTCAATTAATCAGCAATGGAGACGGCAGAGGTCGTCAATTGTAGTTCTTGGGCTGCTTAATGACTGCTTTTTGACGGTTATTTAACTGTCATAACGGTCAC